GTTTAGCAAAAGAGAAAGTGTCCATTCCATGGTTCCAGCTGATGTATCAGTCCCAGCTGATAACATGACCTGTAACTCAAAATCAAGGAGTTTTGGTTGTTTGGATAGCAGGAAAATGAAGAGGAAAATTTTATTAGGGGAAATTAAAAAAGTCGTTGCTTTGAAAATTCTTACCAGCATCATGCCTCTGATGATATCATCTTTGTAATAATCAGGTTGACTTTCTTGCTGAGATAGAAGAACATCAATCATGGTCTTGTTTTTCCCTTCAGGAAGGGATGAATCAATCGTGTTTCTTTTTCTTTCTTCAATCAAATTCTGCATAAATTCATCCCTTTTCCTCTGAAGAATTGCCAGCCTTTCCTCAATTCTATTAAATCCAAGCCAATTCAAAACGGGTAGGAAATCAGCGATGTTTGTAGCTCCACTTAATTCGAATGACTCCCTAACGATCTCTTTGAACTTTTGTGCTTCGTTGTGCTCCGCTACATCTTCGCCATAATACCTCTTTCCGGCAATCATTCTTGAAATAATATTAAGGGTCACCTGGAAAAACACTGATTTCATTTCTACAACCTGGAATTGATCTCCGCCCTTTGAATTTCTATAAAGCCTGAGGATCGATGATTTGATCTCGTCGGCGCGTATACTTTGCAACAGTTGAAGCCGAGCAGATGACAATATCTCGAGAGAGGCCACGCGCCTCAAGTTTCGCCAGTGATCTCCGTAAGAGGTCCAGAGAAGGGTGGTATAATTGTAACCGAGGTGTTTTCGGCGAGCAGGCGAGGGCGGTTTGCGAAAACTAGGTCGTTTTTGGTGAAACATTCTTCTGCAGCAGATGGGGAAGATACAACAACTACTGGGCGAGACCCGAAACGAAGGAAGAGAACGTGACCATGTTGCTTGGAAAGCCTGGCAAAGGTTCGATGCAGGGGGCGTTTTAGGAGATGGAGATGGCCGAATATGGGAAGAGGCAGAGCAGGGCTTGGTGGGAATCCTCTGTTTTCTTGGAAAAACCTCTTGATGAGGAAATACAAGAAAAACAACAGAAGATAGAAGAAAGAAGAGACTTCCATGGATAGATTAATGTTTTTTGAGAAAAATGATTTCATTTTGGTCATTGGCATTCGTGATCTGGCCAAGGATTTGTAATTTTCAGCTTCTAAAATCCTGATGCAAAATCATACGCAACCTTGACAAAGGCGTCGAGTATAGACTGCTTCACTGAAAGCAACAGATTCCCATAAATATCTGAATAAAAGAACAAATAAGAAAGACGTCACAACGGCTGGGAATCAACTTTGTGATACATAGCTACTCCTCTCAGGTAATAAAGATTTGAGAAGAGAATAAAACCTCCAGAGAATTGACATTTCTGTGTCGCGTGAAATGAGAAATTAGAAGCTAATTACACGAGTTACAATCAGGATTCAAGCCAAGAACTCGCACAAAAAAACTGCAATGGCATACAATTCACTCTGTGAAATGAATTTACTGATCCTATTTCCTCAATTCTCAAGGACTAAATAATCTCCTTACTTTGTGAATTAGTCTTCGACAAATTGGACACATCTTGCTATCCTCACTCATTATCCTGTAAAAGACAACACTAACGTGAGTTCCGGAAGATATCAAATACCTATCATTGAAAAGAAAAGGGTAACTCAGTTTTTCAAGATTTACCTTTGAGCACAATCGTAGCAGGTGGCACAATGGCCACAAGGAACGAAGAAACAGTTGCGTTGATCATCATAGCATACTACACATAGTTTTGCATCATAGAGATCTTCTGAAGAGCTACTAGATGACCCCGTTTCATCATCATCTGCATCTCCTCTTTCTGTTCCATACGTGGATCGCAATTGCGTTCGTGTTAGTAGGGGGGTGGTCTCGGTAGCAGGAGTCCTATCATATTGTATTCCCATTGGGGCTGTATCAAATACGCTCCCACGAGTATCACATGCCCCCAGGTATTTCAATACAAAGAAAATTATAACAAAGAAAAAGCCTGAAAAGGATACAATTGTTAGGTGAAAGTACTCAAAAAGTTACTGTAACACAGAGGTAAAATAGAAAAACCTAATCATTGGTAACTGTACCTAAAATTGCTATATATGTTATTAGTCGAGCCACAAAAGAAAGCTCAATATACCAGGCACCACTGTCAACCTGAAATCAAAATTACTATGCATGTGATTAAATCCATGAGGAAATGAATCAGTTATGAACTTGATGATGTTAAAGCAAATGACAAAAGGGTTGTAGATCTGACTTTGTTTGGAGTTGTAAGTACAAGGAACTGAGTGTCAGGAAATATAAGTTTTAGCTGGCAGGATCCTGTCTCTGTGGAACAATTGTTCCTTGCTTTTGTTAGATCATACATCTTGGATGTAACATTCAAAGTTATGGATATAATAATGCTTCTACGGTACTTGTTAATCACTCCTACATAGTACTTGTCATCTTCTTTGACGGTGTACTCAACTTCTTTTCCTGAATAAAAATAATACATCAAAATTGTTCAGAAATCTGAGCATAAACACATGACTGTTATCTAATCTACATGGTACCTTTCAAAAGAAAAGTGAAAGGGATTTAAGCATTAATCATTCATCGTAATTGTTAGTTCTTAGAATCCCTTGTCATGCTCAAGGCATTGCTAGTTCTAATTGTGAAACTTAATATCATTCATGGGATGACAGAATATAAATACCTTCATTGCTATTGCGTTCCAATGTTATTACTATCTTTGTTTTTAAAAGTAACACTTTTAGTATCTTACCACAAAACCAAATAATCATTTTGAAATCAAGACTAAACATTAACTTTGAATCAAGCTGAATGAACAATTTCGAATGAATTCTTACCACTAAGTGGTTCACTCAGAGCAAGGGGATCGAAAGAACTTGAAAATTTTGGCAGCAATGTTTTGCGTTTTCGTTCGCCTGTAGACAAATTAAACATTGTTCTGTACAGTAATTAGAACATGAACGGGACATAATATTCCGCCAGATTTCAGAAAATCAGAACCAAAAAAAAAAAAAAAACCTTTAATGATAATCGGTTGAAGATGAGCTAATCTACTTGTTTGAGTTTCCCATCTCATTCTGATATCAGAACCCTTGTTTAACCACAACGAAAATCCCTGAAATTTATTAATTCCCAATCTTATCAGACCCAGAAAAAGAAAAAAAAAAAAAAATCCAATCTTGATTCTTAAGAAGCATTTCATCAAACAGATTTCAATCAAGATTTCAACCTGGTGGTTGTATGCTCCCACAATCAGATAATTAGAGACACTCCAATTTGTTTCCCAATTCAACTCCGGTTTTTCCGAGAACCCATAAAGAAGAACCCCTTTCCGATCTTCATCTCTGGCTTCGACCAGCTCCACGAACAGAGGTCTTGCCTTCATCAATCGCGAAGAGTTGGGTCCGAGCACCATTCGACAGTCCCCGTAGTAACCGAACCTCAGACTAATCGAAACTGCAAAACCCAAAAAGTAAAATGGTTTGTTTTAGACTGAAGGGTCAACGAAATTGACACAACAAATTAAAAGATGTAGAATTACATGCCACATATCCATAAGGTCAGAGGAGCAAGCAAACGCGGCCAAGTCTCCCGCCACTGCAGAGAGTGGGTACCGGGTGGCACCAGCACCTGCCTGTACATGGCTGTCGGACGGCGGAGACGATGAAGAAAGAGATGTGAAAAAGAGAGACTGTAAGACAATGGAAATGGAGGCGAAGGGAATAAGGGGAGTAAAGACTAGTAGGTTTTCGTGGAACCAACGGTTGGCGGGTAATTGAATGGCAAGGTTTTTTTGAACGTTAGGTGTCCGTTCTGTTGGCCCTCCTGATTTATTTGGGGAATTGTCGGAATGTCAAGACCGATGTTCTGCTGTTGCCTCTTTGTTTTGTTTTTTTTTTTTTTTTCTTTGTCTCCTGTGGGTTGGATGAGGATGTAACAGCTTAGGGTGAACATCGGATACGGATATATTTGATATTTATAAGTACTTTATTTATTTAGATAAATAAGATATTTAAAATGTAAAAAAAAAATAAATAATAAATATAAAAGTAATATACTTAAAAATATTAAAGTAAATAATTAATATTGAAATTTAGAATTATTTATTTTATCTATTTAATCATTTTATTTAATTAATATATTATTTATATTTATATAATTAAAACTTTATATGTAGTTATTATATTTAATATTTATATAATAATAATTTTTAAAAATAAAAATAACAAAATACATAAAATTAATTTTAAATTAAATTAAGATTTATAAACCAAACAAATCACATACATAACAATAACAATTTGTAAAAATAATAAATTTTAAACTAAATATATAATACAAATAATAATAACATTTCATATTAGATTTAAAAAAAAAACTAAAAACATAAATATTTATTCACAAATTATCCATACTTATTTAGTTACGCATCAAATATAAATTTTAAAATATTTAAATAGATACTAAACCAATAAAATTATATTTAAAAAATTTTAAATTAAATATCATATGTACCTTATATCTCATTTGCATCCGAAAATCCTCCACCCTAAGTAAGTTCGTGGAGCTTGGAAGGGGAGTTAGATGTAGGGCCGTGAAAGTAAAATGTTGGTATTATTCTTTTATATCGGAGTGTTAGGCCCATGAAAGGCC